GGAAACGTGGAGAAGGTTTCTGTGTCATCGACTCTGCACCCGCACGTGGAGCGTGTACATGTGTGAGGGTCACACGCGTGTCATGGGTAGTTCAGGGCACATGTTCCACGTCTGCTCATCGTCTGTGACCACAGCTTGGCTCACAGCCTCTGGCCGACGTGTTTTAATCGTTGCCCAACTTCCTGGAGCCCCAGGCAGAGACCCGGGAGGACAGGGCCGGCCCTGCTCAGGGGTCCGAGGCCGGGACGGGAGGGATGGGCTGCACAGGCTCGGAGAGGAGTGTGGTCCCCACCCCGCCCTCCACACCCTCCCCGTAGAGGGAAGGGCCTGCTCTCCACCCAGCCCCTGCTCCACACCCTGGGAACCCCCTTGTGTTCAGGGTCCCGGAAGCCACCCCTGGGGAGGGCGGGAGGCCCTCACCTTTCTCTCCACGAGCGCCCTTCTCCCCTCGGTCTCCTGCAGAGAGAGGAGGGTCAGCACAGGTTCGAGGAGAGGACAGGCTCATGCCAGACCCCATCAGCCAGAGGACTGGCCTGTCCCCCCCCTCCTGGGGCCATGAGAGCCCAGGGCGGGGACAGGTCATGGGGCAAGGGAGCCAGGTCTCCTTTCTGTGCCGGGTCAGTGCTGGGCTGGGGTCGGGATCCGCCCTGGGCCCCATGGGTGCTCTGGACACAGACCCAGACCCAGGCGCTGGGTGAGGGAGCACCCTGTTGGGGGCAGAACTAGGATTAGGGTTAGCGTTAGGGACAAGGTTAGAGTGAGGGTTAGCAGTGGTCGGCAAACTCATTAGTCAACAGAGCCAAATATCAACAGTACAATGATTGAAATTTCTTTTGAGAGCCAAATTTTTTAAACTTAAACTATATAGGTAGGTACATTGTTATAAACTTAATTAGGGTACTGCTAAGGCTTAGGAAGAGCCACACTCAAGGGGCCAAAGAGCAGCAGTTTGCCAACCACAGGCGTTAGGGAATATGGATAAGTTTGGGGATAAGGATAAGGATAGGGTTAGGGTTAGGTTTAGGGATAAAGATAGTGTTGGGTTTAGTGTTAGGATTAGGGTTAGGGTTATGTTTAGCGAAAGAGATAAGGATAGAGTTTGGGTTAGGGATAAGGTTATGATTAGGGTTAAGGATAAGAATAGAGTTAGGGTTAGGGTTAGGAATTTAGGATAGGATTAGCTTTAGGGATGAGGATAGAGTTAGGGTTAGGTATAAGGATAGGGTTAGGGTTATGGTTATTGATAAGGATAGAGTTAGGGATAGGGTTTGGGATTAGCATAGGGTTAGGTATAAGGATAAGGTTAGGTTTAGGGATAGGCCTATGTTCGTATTAGGGTTATGGTTCAGGATAAGGATAAGTATGGATAATTTTAGGGTTAGGGATAAAGTTAGGGTTAGAGTTAGGGGTAATAATAGGGTTAGGGTTTGGGATGAGGATAGGATTATGGTTACCATTAGGTTATGGTTAGGAATTATCCCATGTGACACCCGGGAAGTGCCCCTCCGCTCTCCCTGCCGCGGGTGGTGGGGGTCCCTGCCCGGGTTCTCCATGCTTTTTGCTGAGTTACCTTTGGGCCCGGGGGGTCCCGCATTCCCACGGACTCCAGATGGGCCTGGGTCTCCTGCAAATTTAAACATGTCAGTGAGCAAACTCTGGGGACCCAGGCCCCTAGCACCCCCAGGTTTGACCCTCGGGAACCAGAGGGAGGGGACCCGGACCCCAGCCCTCCTAGTCCCCGCTGTCCAGTCAGAGGCCAGGACCTGCGACCAGGGGCCTTCCCAGGGGACCAGGCGTGAGCCCAGCTCTGCCCTCACCCGGGGAACCTGGGCGTTTCCATTGGCTGCGACTGCCGAGCCCGCTGTGGTCCCCCCTGGAGACAGGCCCCCCGGGCTCAGCTGGGACCAGGGAGGGCAGGGAGGACAGTCCAGCCGGGTCTCCCCCGCAGCAGGTCGTCATCACCAGGAGCTGTGCTGGCCGCCCACACAGGCCCGGCAGCTCCGTGGGTGACCAGAGACCAGCTCCCTCCCACGGGGACCCACACCCCAGTGGACCAAGCCCCAGGCCCCTCCTGAGACCTGCTGGGGGCCCTGCCTTGTCGGGTCTCACTGGGCAGGGACGAGGCCCAGCCCCCCTCCTCGAGGAACTCACCTTTCCTGCCCTC